TTGGGAGCGCGTCGCGAGGGGCGGCGGTGGCCGGCGCCCCTATGAGAGGGACTCCGCGACGTCGACGGGAACAGCCGGCCCGGCGCCCGGCGGCGGCCACTTCAGGGCGCTCGGCGCGGCGAAGCCGGAACGCGATCTGATCGCGCGGGAAAGAAGCGCGGTGGCGCCGCGCGTCGCCGACGGAGGTGGCAGCACCTGCGGGGGCGACCCGACGGCTCGACGTAGAGGGCAGCACGCGGGCCTCGGAACCCGTCGACACTCGCGGCAACGGGGCGCACCCGCGGGCGACGACAGAACGAACAAGCGCCGCTCCCGAGATGGAGCGGAAGGTTCCGCGACGGAGTCTTCGTTAGTCCGGCGACCGATCCCGCGTGAACAACACGGTTCCACGCAGGAACACGCGTCCGATGTCAGTGTGGGTGCAGCGGGCCGTGTAGGTTGGCGCTGTCGATGAAGCTGCAATCGTCCTCGAGCACGTACACACGGCGGAAGAACAGACGGCAAGTTCGACTTAATCCGCGGAAGAACCAGCAGTACTTTGGAAACATAAATCTCCCCTTTTTTGATGGTCATCGAAGCAGTTCGGACCCATTCTCCTGGAGAAAAAAAAGGAACAACATGGTGAACTTCCCACGGAAAATGATCGGCAACAGTACGAACCTCTGATGAAAAAGGACCAACGATTCGAATCGCCAGTCATAACTGAACAGCGCTTAGAATCGTATCAACAGGAAGAACACAAACCTACTGAACATTTACCAGAGGAACATTCACAGCCTGAACAACCTGTAGAAAAATATCCACAACCTGAACAATCTATAGAAGAATATCAAAAGCCAGAACAATCTATAGAAGAACATCCACAGTCAGAACAACATATAGAAGACCAACATATAGAACAACATCCACAGTCTGAAGAAACCTATAGAAAACATCCACCAGCCAGGAAAACGCTTTAGAAGAACATCCACGACAGAACAACATGGATAGAAGACCAACATATAGAACAATCATCCACAGTCTGAACAACATATAGAACAACATCCACAGCCAGAACAACATATAGAACAATACGAACAACGCGAACGCTCGCCGCCCAAACCTCTGCGCGTTGCCGCGGACGACTACTCGCTGCGGGAGCTACCGGCGCCCCCTGTCCCCGCTCACCGACTGTTCGGAGTCCTCGAGCGATCAGGACTGCTTCGACGCGACGTCAGTGATTTTTCGGAGCCGCTTGCGAAAGCGCCTCAAGCTCAGCTGAGCAGCAGCGCTCCCGCCTCTCCGCCAGGCGGAGAGGATGCGGTCGCCGCGGCGACGGCGTCTGCGTTCGCAGGCTCCCGGCCTCTCCGATCAGTGAGGAGGAAGATGCGTTGCGCCCGGCGACGGCGTCTGCGTTCGCAGGCTCCCGCCTCTCCGACCAGGAGGAGGAGGAGGCGGTCGCCGCGGCGACGACGTCTGCGTTTCGAGCTCCCCGTCTCTCCGACCAGGAGGAGGAGGAGGCTTACGAAATGTGTTCAGATAACTTTGCAGAAATTCGCATCATAGAGCTGGCAAAAGTTTCGAAGGGAGCATAGAGCATGAATCTGTAGTTATTTAACATGAATAAAGTGTATGTTTTGTAAGTGCAGTAACAGTGTGAGTATTTTTAATTAATTTCTGTTCGATGCTTATTCAGTCCTGCAGCCTATGGACGCCCTCTACTGTTGTTTAACTCCTATAATAATAAGTAGAAATAAAGTTATTGATTGAGATGAGCTCTATTAGTGCTATTAGTAATTTCGACTTGAGCAAATTTTCTTTTTCTTTGTTTCTCAGACAAATACAGTTCTTACGAGAAATGGTGATACAGTAATAATCATAATGAAACCGAAGTTAATCGGGACCTTAGCTTGACACGAAGTAAAGTTACCGCTAGAATTAATTATTCAAATACAATTTAATTAATAATTACATGTGGTACTTTAATAGTAATACACATATAAAACACTGATAGTAGTACTGCATTAAATGTTTTTCGATGTTTGGCTACGCATAGGAGAATTCGCAGGACGCCACGTTGTTTACTAGTGTTTCTCTACTGATTTATGGCCCACTGCATTTCGTGCTATATTGACGCGCTAGATGGCGCCACATAACAGTAACTTCTCCTGTTTGCTAGAGGGCGTATCTTGCACTCTCTCGCTATCTCTACCTTTCTTTCAATTCTCTGTCATTCTAAATTACAGATTAAGAGAGTTGCAAGAATATTAATGAAATGATCATTCATGGGTCACATTATGGGGTTATTTATGACATTACGTCAGCAGGTCAAGGTCATGATTATTTTTGCTAAGAGAAAGATAAGTGCTTAATTTAGCAACACGCAAGAAGGTGATGTTCCATTAGGAGCGTTCCCAACTTCAATGTCATTAATGTCGTGATATCAAAAAGATATAAAGGGGGAGTGGATCGATATCAATTAGATATCAAGGGGGGTTAGATATGAAATAGATATCAAGGCGGGGGTTATATAGGGTATATAGAGAAAGTAAGCAACATTGAGACTGGGGTATGTTCGCTTCGTTTCGCTGGACTTTGCTGGACTTCGTTGCTCGACCAAGCAACATTGAGACTGGGGTATGTTCGCTTCGTTTCGCTGGACTTCGCTCAGCTTCGTTGTTCGAGCAAGCGAAATACAGAGCGGGGCCATGTTCGCTTCGTTTCGCTGGACTTCGCTAGACTTTGTTGCTCGAGCAAGCTATGCGCGCTTGCTGCGTGTGCGTGGGTGCGTGCGTGTGCGTGTGAGCGCGGCACCGACCCACCTCATCCAGCGCGTCGCGGCTGTGCGCGCTCGCAGCGTGTGTGCGTGCGTGTGTGAGGGCGCCACCGACCCACCTCATCCAGCGTGCCGCGGCTGTGTGTGCGTGCGTGTGCATGAGTGGGTGTGTGTGTGCGTGTGTGTGTGCGTGCGTGTGTGGGGGCGCCACCGACCCACCTCATCCAGCGCGTCGCGGCTGTGCGTGCGTGTGTGGGTGGTTTCGTGATATTGACCTCCAAATAGGTTTTTTTTCTGCCGCCATTGCCCCATATTTTTTAATGCGATTTTGCATATTATGACTTAGGTGGTAGTTCAAACTAACATATACACATGTCAGCAGCGAACATTCCGGCATACTTTCCAAAATTTTGGCCCTTGAATTAGGCTAGTGCACCCTGGTCGGTCATTACCGCAACAGGCCGTTTTGGCAGTATAAAACGGAAATGAAATAAACCACGCTGAAAATACCTTTGGAACTAGTTGACGTTACATCTGATGAACTATATTCCATATTGGTAGTGTGGGTTTTGTGTTGCAGGAGTCTATTTTGCAACATTATTCCATCCCAATATAACCGCCATTTGGAAATTGTGCACGTTTTTATCCAAATTTCAGACGTGCAGTACCCCATGTTCCAATTTTTTGACTGGGTAGAAGGCAATACATCTATATTTTGTAAGGCATACATCAATTTATACCAGTTTAAGCCTCATACCAGAAAAATTAGAGGTTTGTCGTCGTTTTGGTAATGACTTATCCGTTATGGTAATGACTTAGTCGTTACGGTAATGACATTTTTCGTTACGGTAATGATTTCCAGTGGTCTAACTTGACTTCTTATACAGTATAATAGTTAATATCCAATGTCTCTGAAACCGATCCCATGATTCTGGCCCCTTCTGTCATTAGGCCTATCCGTGTATAGGCTATAGCGATTCTTCAGGGCTAACAAAAATGACATGAAACATTATTACATGTAATTTCAGTAACATTTTATTAACTTTAACTGACCAGAACTTATTCTTTACCTAACATGCCATTCGGACATACACGTACATGTATACTTAGCCATGACCTTCGGATGTAGCAGACCAGAATGAGTGGAGGTAGGCGGCCCGATAATACCTTTGAGCCATGTGTCCTGCACGTAGGCCTAAAGGCAATAATTGAGATCCGAGGACAAACTTTCTGGGATACAGTATGCCGAGTCAACATGGTCAAGGAAATACTAGTCTATTCTGAAATGAAATGTCACCATCCTTTCAGGCACTAATTGACACGAAACTACAAAACCAATTTTTAAGGAAATTATGTGTCATTTTGACGCACATTTCCAGACCCAACATGTGAAAGTTACAGCAAAATCAACCAAGTAATGAAATATCTTATAAAAATAAATATCTAAGTTTCTATAGTCTATTAAAACTTTTCTCAAAATCACACAAAAAAACTAATGGAAAATGCATTGCGACATTTTGGAAAGTTTTAATGGACTTTATACAAACAGATTTCCGATTTTGCTGGAACTTTCACACTTGTTGGGTCCAAAAATGTCAAAATAATACCTAGTTTGTTAAAATCGAAAGGATGATGACATTTTATTTCTGAATAGACTGTATAGTAGATATGAACTTCAACAATGAACAAGGAACAACACTAAACAAGATTGGTGCCTGCTATAGCCGGGCCAAAGATCTACCTCACCCATTCAAATGGAAGGTGTGTGTGACCGGCTTGTAGCATTGACAAGAGAGCCCTTCACACTGGAAGCAACTTACTCTCCGACACTGTAGCTTGCCTTTTTCTACAGATATAAGCTGGTGGAACGACATGGTCCCCGGAATCGAGCGAAGTTGGGTACCAGCACTACTATTGACATACTGGTCAATCTTCAGGACATCTTCTTCTGTTACCATGTACAGTGAGATACGGGTATTCTCGTGCAATGCTTTGTATACTGACTCTGCGTCAGTTAGATTTGCACCAGCCACAACCACACGGTCTGCAGTACGCTTGAGGACACCGCCAATTCCATCAGCAGCTCCTTTTCATGCCAGCTTCTAGCAGAGACCAGTTCACACATTTAATTCCCCATTCGTATGGAGAGTTGACATGAGGAAAAAGTTGTTTTGCATCGGTATTGAGTTGTCGGACCATCAGATATGAAGTAGGCCGTGTCTATTTCAGGATGATGTTGGGCTACATCATCGAACAATGGCTTCAGATGGCCCATATGGCTGCTGCATCATGCCTCCTACAACTCGATATGGATGGCAAACCACGACTTTCTTTCTGCATGTACAACATCCAGTTGTAGTGTGACCTGTTGGTGGACGCCACCAAAGTGGCAACTTTGAATTTCTGAATGATACTGAGAGTATAATATTTTCGCTAAAGTCTATATGATGAGCATTTCATTTTCAGCAAGAGATTCTTTCTTTAACTTTAGCTGCTGGTACTGAATGTCGAATATGAACGTGTCTGGCCAGTTTTCTACCAAGGTTTTCTTCGAACCGATCAGTCAATTCATCCATTGTTCCTTCGAGCTTCACTTTCTCCGTCCTCTTTGTTTTATCGATCTTCTTAGTTGTTTTATTCATGTATTCATGATCAACTACCCGCCACTCTTCCCAGATAACCTGGTCAGTCTGTTCGTAGGGCTGAAATGGTACCCTTCGATCCTTGCACTCGTCACAATCGCGGTACATGCAATCCATGCTGAGAGTCGAACAGCAAATTGTAGACAGCATCGTTTCAGGATCCCTTTCGTCATGCTTGATTACCCCTGCTCGATATATTGCCTCTGCCATTAGTTTCAGATTTTCGTGGGTACGACAGAGACATGTCTCGCGGTCATTTGCCTTCGCGTGTACTACCCAGAAGGGCTTGTTTGCACAGAAGAACGAGTATCCGACTCTCGTTCGCGGATGTTCGAGCAAGTACTTGAAATGCAGATTCCGCAAAGTGTCACAAAGCAAACGTTTCTGCTTTGTTTCCATCTGATTGGTAACTTTGTCATTTTTTCCAGGACGCAAGGTGCTATTATCATCCCGACACAAGAAGTCACGGATTTCTTGGATTGTTTGGTCAGAATACCTATCGCGGCGTTGTTTTCGCACAAGTCCAGCAAGTCGTGATGGTGACAGTATGCCAATTCCAAGGGAGTTTTCTGCGTATCTAAGGAAGCGGTATTTCCCAAGGTACCAGTTCTTGAATGTTTGACGAACAAACTGTTTCTCTCGTTGGGTTTTCAGTTCAGCGTACTTTTTCCTGAGACTACAGGCCATAATGAATGACAAAGTCAACTGTCTCATTACTTTCTTTCGATTGCCATCATTCAGTAGCGCTTTTGCTTTTGAGGCCGGAGAATCAGATCCCACCTTCTTTCGAGCTCGTTCAAGGCGTTTTTGAATGCGTTTGGTTTTTTTCTTTTCCATGTTCAACTTAATCTTGAGGTAGTTAATTGTGCGGTATGCCTTAGCCCTGTCACGGCGGACCTTCTTGCGGCCAGACGTTTTCTTGTCTTGCGCGTTTGCAGGTTCGGGTGCCACAACGGGTGCTGGGCTGGTCGGAGGCGTCAGGAGGTCATCATTGGGTTGAGTCTTTAACTCTTACGCTGAGTTTCTTTGGTGTATACGCCATGTCCTTCTCTGTTTGCGTGCTTCACGATCTCCCATTGATTCGATTGATTTAATTTTTCCTGCTTCTTTTCGTGTCTTGTATCGTTCCCGTTCTGCAGCCAAATATTGCTCATGTTTTTCTGAATTTTGTCTTTGTCGGTCCGCCATAGTTTTGACCTCTCTTTGTTAGACAGTGGTTTCCCCTTTGTCGGCGGTGGCATGGCTCGTCGACTGTNCAGCCACAACCACACGGTCTGCAGTACGCTTGAGGACACCGCCAATTCCATCAGCAGCTCCTTTTCCATGGCCAGCTTCTAGCAGAGACCAGTTCACACATTTAATTCCCCATTCGTATGGGAGAGTTGACATGAGGAAAAAGTTGGTTTTGCATCGGTATTGAGTTGTCGGACCATCAGATATGAAGTAGGCCGTGTCTATTTCAGGATGATGTTGGGCTACATCATCGAACAATGGCTTCAGATGGGCCCATATGGCTGCTGCATCATGCCTCCTACAACTCGATATGGATGCAAACCCACGACTTTCTTTCTGCATGTACAACATCCCAGTGTGTAGTGTGACCTGTTGGTTGGACGCACCAAAGTGGCAACTTTGAATTTCTGAATGATACTTGAGAGTATAATTTTCGCTAAAGTCTATATGCATGAGCATTTCATTTTCAGCAAGAGATTCTTTCTTCAACTTTAGCTGCTGGTACTGATGTCGAATATTGAAGACGTGTCTGGCCAGTTTTCTACCAAGGTTTTCTTCGAACCGATCAGTCAATTCATCCATTGTTCCTTCGAGCTTCACTTTCTCCGTCCTCTTTGTTTTATCGATCTTCTTAGTTGTTTTATTCATGTATTCATGATCAACTACCCGCCACTCTTCCCAGATAACCTGGTCAGTCTGTTCGTAGGGCTGAAATGGTACCCTTCGATCCTTGCACTCGTCACAATCGCGGTACATGCAATCCATGCTGAGAGTCGAACAGCAAATTGTAGACAGCATCGTTTCAG